CAGGAATAATAAGCTGGCCAAAGGATGAGATACAGGCCACAGATGTTAAGACAGGAAATCTCCTAACCATGCACGGAGGGTACCGCCCCAAATCCAGCACCCGAGACTGTACACTAGCTGTAAGGAAGGAGGACGAGGACAAGTGAGTGTGAGAGCCACTAACCAGGATGAAGCACCCTAAGCACCAGAGCAATAGAGGCCCAGATCTACCACCCCAATCAAAACCCCAGGTGCAGACTGTGCAAAGAGGCCCCTGAGACAATCCAGCACATAACTGCAGGGTATAAGATGCTGGCAGGGAAAGCTTGCATGGAGCGCCATAACCAAGTGGCTGGAATAGTGTACAGTAACATCTGTGCAGAGTATGGGCTAGAAACCCCAAGGTCAAAGTGAGAAAGACCTGCAAAGATGGTAGAGAATAACCGAGCCAAGATCCTGTGGGACTTATAAAGATGGACTGAATGGTAATGGCAAACCAACCAGACATTGTGGTGGTGGACAAAAAACAGAGAAAAGCTGTTGTGGTTGACATAGCAATACCAAGAGACTGCAATATCAGGAAAATGAACACGAAAAACTAGAGAAATATCAGGGGCTCAGAGAAGAGCTGGAGAAAACCTGGAAGGTCAAGGCATCAGTGGTACCTGTGGTCATTGGGGCACTCGATGCAGTGACCCCAACCTGGAGGAGTGGTTACAGCAGATCCCTGGAAATACATCAGACATCGCTGTCCAGAAAAGTGTAGTTCTAGGAACAGCAAAGATACTGCGCAAAACCCTCAAGCTCCCAGGCCTCTGGTAGAAGACCTGAGCTTGGAGATTTTTTTTTTATATAGGTAGTCACTGTGTGTGTGTGTACCATGCTCAACATTGAGCAGAGGAAGCAAAGGAAATAGGTCTCAGGAGATCAGAAAGAAAATTATAGACAATAATGTTAAAGGTAGAGGCTAAAAGACCATCTCCAAGCAGCTTGGTGTTCATGACTAAAGTTGGTCATATTCAGAAATTTAAGGCTGTAGCCAGCCTCTCTGGATGTGGCCACGGGAGGAAATTAATGACGAATCAAAGAGACAGATAAAATATATAGTAACAAACTTCTAAAGAGATTAAAGGTAAACTTCAAGCTCTAGAACCATCAGTGTCGATCAGACCATCCATCATTGTGTGAGCCCAAGTGGACCAAATAGGAGATGAGGAGAAAACCATTGTGGGGAAAAAAACAACAACAAACAAACAAAACAGAATGGAATTTGCCCAACTATGTATTTTTTTTCTCTCCAACAAACCACAAAGCTTCTAGGAGAATGTCCTTCGGACGGTTCATACAAAAATGTTACTTTTTGCCAAGGTACATCAGATCTGTTTTCAGATGGAAAAAATGAAGCACATCAAGAAAAGAACAGTCCTCACTGTGAAACATGGAGGAGGCTCTGTTATGATATGGTGATGCTTTGCTTCATCTGGCACAGGGTGTCTTGCATCTCTACAGGACACAATTACATCTATAGACTAAACAGGCAGCCATATTAAGAGTAAATAGTTGCGCTATGAACCAATGGAAGAAAAACTTAACATAGTGTCTGATTTGTAAATAATGAAAAACAATGAATGGCTATAAAACAAAACCATTTTTCCCCATGTTCCATATATGGCTGTTAAATAAGACACGTTATACTTCAAATCATGCAACATATTTAGGCTCTAATTATTTTTTTCAAAGCTGCAGTCTCTGTTCATCCAAACCAAAAAAAACGGATAGATATACATTTTCTTTATGATCTTTCCTCTGGAAGAAGCAACGCGTTACGTAAAAATAAAATGAACAGGGAAGGTTTTCCAATCTGGAAAGATTTATTTATCAATTTATATTGTTCATATTAGCAAAGCCATTTGCTTAAATAATTAAAACCTTGAGTTCAAATGTTAAGGAGATTGAAGTTAGTTTATGTTTAGTGAGTGAAATTTATTAATAAAATGTTTTTTAACAAACTCAACATAATCCTAAAGATATTCAATGTTCCCAAGAAAATATGACATGATTAACATTCATCCAACTAACAAAGGATTGAATAATCAATATTTAACTTGGATTAACATGTTAAGCTTCACACACATCCAAAAAATGACAGACTGTTTTTCTTTTAAAAATCAACTTTAATAAAGAGTTGTATGCTTCCACATATTTACAGGGCTGCATCACAGGTGGAGGAAAAACTTTCAAAATCTATTAATTCTGAAATACAGATTTTCCCTTGCAATAAAGGACAAAATAAAAGAAAAATAAATGTATTCCAGATGAGTTAAAAGGAAGAAGAACAATTAAGAGTTTATCTCTTGGGCCAGTTATGTCGGAATCCTCTGTAGGTATAAAACAGAAAATATTTATCATTAGATGTCTGAATGTGCAGAATTGGACAAACTTGACTATTCTGAATGTTTACCTGTTTGATTTGCCACTGAGGTATGACATACTTCTGTTTCCTGCAGAACTGTTGTTTTTTGGACCTTGAGGAAACCTCTGTGGACAAAAGAATAAAAGATATGGAGAAAATATCTATTTTTGAAAATATATTTAGCAAATCTAAGAAAACTAGAGCTTCACCTTTTTCCTAAAGCCCTGTGCTTGCCGATTTGGATCAAACTGTGTGTCGTCCTTCGCTTTGGAGCCTGTAAAGCGTTAGCAGATGCAAAGATTAGGAGGTGGATATTGCAACAGAACACAAAGATGAACCCGTTAAGCCTACCATCAAAAACTTTCAGATCTGACTGAGCATAGTCAAAGGGTGTGAAGCTTTCTTTAGCAGAAGGTTCAGTCTTCTGCGCTTTCTCTGTTGATTTCATTAGCTTTTTACTCTGTTTGGGAGTCACCTCTCCAACCTCACTGCCCTCCCTTGCCCTCTTCTTTCCACCATCCTTTGACTGCTGAAATTAGATTGACAGAACAAAAAGCTCAAAAACATTAGCATTGTCTACCTTAGCAATCATTTAGGTTAAATGGTGTCACTAGTGTGCACCTTCACTGCATATGAGCAGATGCTCTGATATCCAATATTTTTGTTACATTTGTCAAGTTAATGGAAAACACAATAACCAAATGATTGTTTAAAAAGTTAAAGATTTCCAAAGACAGAGGATGAATAATTTACCAATGAAGCAGCAAGATTAGAGTTATAATAACTAGAGTCCTCACGTTTATAGTCTTCAATTGTATCAAAATCAGATCTATTGCTAAATTAATCCTCATGAGGAATGTTTAATACGTTTTTAAGGCAAAGAAGCAGAAATATCTCTGTAAAAATGAATAAAAATGACCCCAAAAAACAAAGAACATTTATTTTGAAAATATCTTTACAAACATTTATGTGGTGCAACTAGAAGTGTCCCAATGCAGACCAAGCATGACCTAAGATCTTGTATTACAGACAAGACAATAGTTTTTTTGTATTTCTATGCCTTAAGTCACTATATTTACATGTTAACAATCAGAATAAACATTTTCATAATTTGTGGTCAATATAAATGTGTAAATGCACAGTTATCTGGGTCATAGGAACCACACAACATATTTTAATCGGAGGCATGCAGACTTTTGCTCAGTTGTTCTGATGATGTTTCTACACCTATGCAGGGGTCTTAGTTTATTCTGTCGGCTAACGCTACAGCGATCTGTGGTTGGAGTGCTGATGAGTTCTTGCAAACAGAAAGCCATCGTTCTGGTGATTTGTTGTTTACAAACCAGGAGAATAAGGGGTGGGTGTTAGATTTGTGACCGAGTTGAAGAAGGATGAGCTCAAGGTGGCTTAATCAGTATAAAATTAATTCAGGTCATGTTTGGCTGCTTTTAGTTGTTTAGATTTTAAGGAAGTGATCGAATGATTAAATGCAGTGAAAAGCTATAATATGAAAAGGATGTCGGGGAAACACAAAGGCTAACCGTATTACCTATTTATCTATGTGGCTCTATTAAGCCACTTTCTTTAGAAATGTCTTTATGTTATTAATCAACTCTTATAGATTGCTTTTTACCATAAAATCAATCTTTCAAATTACTTTTCATATTCGAAAATCTTTTTTTTCTCTAAAATTTGGTTTCTGAAGTTCCCAGCTGAATAGGTATTTATATGGGTGGCAGCTTTATGCTTATTCTATTCATGTGA